TAATCCTGATTCTTGCGTTAAACGGTGTAGCGAGTAGTCAACATCGTAAACGCATGGTCAGGAAGGAATACCATCTGGTGACAGGGCTTTCAGTTCTGAATTTCTTCAAGCTACTGATATCAGGCTCATCAGTAGGGAGCTTGCGGCTGACTATGGATGTTGATTTGCAAACCTTGAGGCAAGGTAAACTCATCCGTTGGGGATTTCTTCTAGTTCGTATTCAGTGGAATTCGCTTTACGTTTTTGAAAGATGGGAAATTGAATCGATTTGCTGGCAAAGATTTCTGCTCAAAAATTAAGAAGATAGAGAGATTACTTTTTTGTCTAATGCAGTTCAACAATTCCTCACCTCCATTATCCCAGGGTCCAGCGTACGACGAGCTAATGGATATTTCTGGAGGACAGAGAGGAAGAGAGAAGATGCATGTTTATGGGTAAGGCGAGTTAGGAATTCAGGCAAAAAGGAAAAAAAATTATATGTCATTAAGAACTCCCGGAAGGGTGAAGGCATGCCCAGCAAAGGGGTGTTTTCGAAGCCCGCATTTTGCAGACGTTATTGAGGGCAGCACATGTGTTGGCAGATGTCTGTGAGAAGCGATTTTCCGAATGGCAGATGCGCCGCAAGTTATATCCACCCTCGCTGAGGTCGCTAATTGGCATTTTGTTGCCAAGTGATCCTGTCTTTGGTAAACATGCCTCATTTTACGGGTTAGCATAAAATTTATTAGAACTTTTGATTAAAAATATGAAGGAAGCTCTCATTCAGAAGGGAGACTCGTTGATGGTTGAAGAAAGACGAAGCACGCGATCTGGAAGGTTCATCCATACACATGTCAGTATTAAATAAGCAAGTATAAAACGAGCTTCGTGGTCGAGCTTTTCGGGATGTGCCATGGATTCGATTTTATTTGGAATCGGGAAGTAATCTGAGCACATGTCTCACCTATACCATGAATCCGAAGCTAGTCGACTTACTCATGCCAGTGTCTATGCCTTTCGGCGCTACGGCGCTAGCGCAAGATGTGGGGTGATTGTGGTTGCAGTGCATTCAAAGCTGCGTAAAACATGTCGATTTGTTAAAAACGGTACTAATGTAAGCCTCAGGCGGTGGAAGAGAGACTCCAGGGTGCGCGGGCCATTTTTATTTTCCCTGGAGTTTCTGCCCCCTCGTAGGCTTAGTCTTGGAGAATGCTCGTATAGCGCTTAGGCGTGAGCAAATGCGCCCATCTTTACCATGCTGACTAGATATAGAGCTTTTTAATTTACCTTAGCCGTCACAGGGACCTTCAAAGGGTGCTCGCTCCTATTGGAGTGTGCTCCGTCCTTACATTTAGTGTCACAATAGCGGTCAAATGAGTTTGCCGAAACGGTTTTTCGTGTTTCTTTTTTTTTTGCCAGAAAAAAATCTATGGTGACTATGAAAATTTTTCTTTCGAATATATCTTCTTTTAAGAGTTGAGAATATAAAAACACTAGGAACATAGTATATCAATCTTTGGAGTTTTCGCTCTAACGAGAAGATATGCACTTAATCTTTCGGTAGGCGAACACTTATGGCGCTACTGTACGTCATCAGTAACTTAGCTGACACTGGAACAACCGCAGCGGTGTTTCATCTTGGAGTAACGAACACTTTTGAGCAGGCACAACGTTTGTGCTGTTTTCTCATTTTATCTGTTTCTCCGTGTCTTTACTACGTCCTTATCTATCGGTCTTAAAGGACGAATTCACGAAAAAGCAACCCATTTCAAATTAACCTAGGGATGGTGAGTGGTACACGAAAGAAGGAAGAACCATGAGAAACGGCCCAGAACCCGAGAAATGGTACCCCTTCCTTGCCCGTTGATTCGAGCATTGATGCGACTCTCATCGCTGTGCCCTCTTCAACACTACGCTCTCTCAGCTATCTAATCACTCGCCACGTATTGAACTACGGCGAGTGATCAGATGATCGGTGGGCGGAGATCGCCGGACCCGCCAGCTTTGAGGCATGATAGGTCGCCGAGGTCAAATTTTTCCATGCGAATTGCGCGTCAGTTCGCACCCTCAGGAGGTCCGTGGGTACTCAACTAGGTGAATTACTTCTTCCTCGACCTCCATTCTAATCGTGAATCCTCCTTTAATATTAGGTCGGTCCATAAGTCTTGCAACAAACTGGCCGAATTTTGAATTTAATATTTTCATTATCTTTTTGTTCCATTCATCCGGCATGCTACCCTCCATCAATATCTACAACCTATTGCCAACACACTAGTAGCTGCTCGATGCCTCCCTTGTAGGACTCTACTGAATTCTGATCGAAGAAAGATCAGATGTCGATTTTGACATCATCATAGTTAGGATGAGCTTTCTTCTCTAGGAGATGGTTTGGAGAGGGGAGCAGAAGGGCATTATTTGCACGAGGTCAGGGCTATAACGTGAATACGGAAGAACTCTCCGTCCTAGAGTCTCAAATTTTTGAATTTTCTTAGCAAGAGGTGGTTCAACGGTGTCATACAAAAGCAAACTTTGCCTTGTTTTCTTTCGTATTAAAAGCGTTGCATTCGAGCTGTGGATAGTTGACTTTCGCGTTGACTGCGACATCTACACGGAGGGGTTTCCAGAGCTTAACTCCTCCCGTGTTCCACCAAATCCGAGAGGCCGTACTTGGACGAGGTTGAACTTAAGCAAATAAAGATCCTCGAAGCGTTTGAGCTGGACTACCGCCGCTTGTTCATTTGTTAGTAAACTGTACCCACTCCTCATCTTCGGCAAATGTGATGGATGGTCAATCGTAGAATCCCTAGTAAGTCGACTTGAACATAACGGTGTCAGATCGTGTTTGGAGCTGAATCGGGCTCAAGGCACGTGGGGACCAAACTCTACATTTTCGGATCTTCACAAGTCTTTGAAGATGCCACAGTGCTGTCTCCTTGTCGCATCGCAAAATCGCTCTAGATTGCCATCGGCCTATCATTCTGGGCAATCTTTGTTAGTATGACTTGCGGAACATTCCAGCAGTTCTCGTAAAAATTAAGGGCACCGAGAGCCCTCTCGTGAAATCGGTGTAATATCCATAATAAGTAAGCAGACAACGAGCTGGACCGTTGGCTGAAATTGCAAAGGTTGATGCTACGTCAGGAAATATGTTGCGCGGATTTTCAGGAGTTCTCCCTAAATTCTATAGCATTAAATGTAGTTTGTTGCAAGACTTATGGACCGTCCTATATTTCAGGACTGTGGACTTTTAACCGTTCCACCCAAAGGAAGACGTGTTTTTTCGTTTTTTTCATTGCTTTCCTTTTTCTCGTTGTTTCCCACCTCTACGCAGGGCCATATGTTTTTTGATCGCGAAGGGCTATGTTATCCGACATACGTTCTCCGACATTCATATATCTACGCAAAAAATCGAATGCGTGGCACACCCCGAGGCACTTCTTTTCTCTTAGAACTTCTTCGATGGTAGCAGGAGACAACTCAAGCTGCCATAGCTATCCGTCAAAGGCTACCACAAAAATCTCTAGCTATTCAAAAATACCTGATTTTTGATACCATCGCAGTATTTCTGGGAGCTGATGACGAACGAGAATTCACAAGGACTGCAGATCACGTCGAAAATTCCTCCAAATTGCGTCTCGGCGGCTTTTTGAATTGCTCGTTTTGACGTTGGGGCGTCATTTTTGATATTCTGGAAATACTTGCTGCTTTCACAACTCTTATAAACAGTACGAAACTTACGTCAAGGATGAGCTTCTTGAGCTTGGGATCGTTACATTTTGGCGATTCGTCAACCGTGTTGTCGTCTGCTGAAAAAAAAGGAATTTTGTTTTTTGAGAAACACCTGTCTGTGTGGAAGGCCTTAACGATAAATTTAAAAGGCAAGCATAATTATGCTAGTCTGAACAGCAACATGAAGCTCATTATCCTGCGTCACACAAACTCTGGAATCGCTTCAGGGTGAGAAAGTTTTTTTTATATGTTCCCGCCACCCCTTTGGTTACTGGTAACACGTTTGTGAGAGGATGATTTCTTAGTAAGGAGAAAGACTTATGAAGGCAGCAGTGGAAATGTCATTCATGTTTACTCGAGCAATGAATAAGTGGAATAAGCAATTCAAAATCACGCAATAGGCTTTTCGTTTGACGGCTGTCTTTCAAAAGTAGAGGAGCTGAACTTTGAAATTCTAATGAGTATACATAAATAGATTTCTATTACTGGTTGGAGCCATAATAGCCAGCATAGCCATGTTGATACAAGCACATATAGCGACATGTCAGGTTTTCCCGGTGATAATGAGAGTGAGTTACCGCTCACTGCTAACTTATGGTTTGAAGAGAAACCCTGGAATAAAATGGATGGTTGGGAAAATGAAGTGGAGTTGGTATGAGGACTGATCTGGAAAATAAAGCGACAGCAAAGGGAATCGCCGGATTACCCCATCCCCCGAAGAACCCCCTCTCCTTCAAAAGCACATCACCTTAAAGGCAGCGATAAAGAGGAAGCGCATCGCGGAAGCATATACACAACACGAAATTACTTGACTGCCAGGGAAGCGAGGTGTACCACTTTCACGAC